TTTTCCCGTTTTTTCCCCCCCCCCCCCCCCATTATCTAGTTTAAATGCTCCTCCAGTCTTTTAACTATTTTTCCCCCCAGGAATGCTGCAAATGCTGTACTAAAAGAATATAGAGGGTGCCACTTATATCTTTCTGACAATGATAGTTTTTTTGGCAACTATGTTGATCCAATGTCTTCAATACACCTAGAACATGTGTATAAAATATTATTCACGGGTTTTAGACCTAAAGCTGACTCTCTAACCTGCATGCTTGTTGCAGGAGAGTAACTCGAAGTATTGAGGCCAGGACATCGAGGCAGCAAGTATTCATAAGCTGACCACACACTATATGAATTTCGACTGGTTCTTGATTCATCGATCAACGCTCTTAAACTGTTATTAATATCACGGTTTTTTCCTCCCTCCTGTGCTGGTGTAAGGACTTACCTTATATGATGCCTCTTGATCCGATCATCTTCTTCTTTCCAGTAGTTTTCAGGAGTCCCTCCCGCACTGGAGCCGGTCTCTGATCCAGTGTTGACTGCTGTGTCTTCTGTGTCCCATGGAGTCTGTGCGGGTGCACGCTGCCGGGCGGCGTGCATTGACTTACCCTGTGTCTCCCTTCTTCTCATGGCCGAAGATCTCTACCGCGCATGTGCCCACCCCATGATCCTTCGGAGCCACCCGAGAATCTTCAGAACTTCGGTAGTGCGCGGTGGAGACACAGATAAGCAATTACCTTTTTGGTAACTTTTTTTATATGTTTTTGTATATATCTACTGCTTGCTAGCAGTAGATATATGCAAAAAAAAAACCCAAAGGTTTAATTGTACTTTAAGCGTTGATGGAGGAATCTGTAGTATTTTTTTTGTTCAGCCCGTGGGTTGTTTGAAGAAAATATTACAGTGTATGGGCAACTTTAGATGAGAGTCAACAATGGCTGCCTCTCATATTTATCTCACTACTGGTTTCCTTTAAGACAATGCATGTTCCAGAAAGAACAGTGTATCTCAAGTACCATAGAGCTCTTTAGATGTGGCTACATTTTGTTAATTTGAATGAAAGTGGATTGCAAGAAATGAAAAGAAAGAAAGAAAAACAAATTAAAAACACAGAATAATATTCATGGATGGTAATAGTTCTGTTTGCAAGTGATTATGGTCAAGACTTCTAGGTATACAGTCTGCAAATTGCAGAAAAGTCCTGCATAGATAGATTAAATTAGGGGTTTTACTGTATATTACTCCTGTTTTATAGTACAGCAATGATAAAACCAGATATGATAAAAATGTGAATGCCTATCTCCTGTTTGTCCAACAGGGTGACTGTAACAGCCAATGGGATGCTAATCTTAAAAAATATTTCTCGTTCTGATGAAGGGAACTATACCTGTTTTGCGGAGAATATTATGGGAAAGTCAAACAGCACCGGAATCCTGAGTGTAAGGGGTAAGACATGATCACAGCTTCCTTATTCAGAAATTATTTCATGAACTGGATAATACCTTCTCCTTAAAAAAGACAGATAGATAGGCTCAATTATTTTGCAAATGATAAAGGTTTTTATGTCTTAATATGGTGACAAATTGCAGTTGCTTTTTTGTGTTATGCAAAAGATGACACCTCGTTACATATTTTCTGTTCTAAACCTAACATTTTCTGGCCCGAAATGAGAAACATTACAAAGAAACTTACAAATGTTCTCCTTAGGAGGCAAACTATCAGCTAACATTAGATAGAAAAAAATCTATTTCCCCTTGAAAATCTAATACAGAGTTTACTTGTTTTTTGTTCTGCTATAACTGTTATAGCTATAACTGTTATAGCTCCCAATATCATCCACTGAGGATATTGAGTAACTGTCCCTTAGTGAGCTGAGTAAGTCTGAACAAAAAAACAAATAAAGTGAAGATTCAGCATAGCCCCATTTGGTATAATCTAATAACCCTATATAGCCAAATAGTTATTTTTCTGTCGCCTATAATTTTTGGATACTGAATGGACTGCTTTTCCAATATTTTATTTTGTGCCCAAATTTCTGCTAGAACAAATAGAGTGTATCCTGTTCCCCCTGCCTTGATTGTTGCTTACGCAATATATGCCAGATATTGTAACCTATTCCAATCATTTCTGCAGTGTGAGTGCATCACTATATATTTTTTTGTTTTGTACATAAAAAAAGAAAAGAAAAAAAAGTTTTGATACTGAGAATTGTGAGAACTTTTGTATAAAGAAAACACTTCCATCTCCATACATCTACTTCCACAATGCAGTTTCTCCTACCGACCCCTAACATACTACAGGACACAGTAATAACGTAGGGGCTGGTTAGGGGAACCACTGAGAGCGGCAGAGGACCAGGGATTTCTCTTTAATAGAGCACCTTTCAGTGGTGCAGGTGACAGGAGAGGTAAGTATTTACTTACTTTCCTTTTTGTATGGACAGGTTTTAATGGCAAGATCAGTTTAGCGACAAAGTTGCTTTAATGTGACACCTTGACTGGGGGCATACCATTCAATTCTTCTACTCAACCAGTCCTTCTTATATATGGCAGTTTGCATTATTTTTAGTCACAGTCTTTCAAAAGTGACATGAAGTTTCCCGGAATCAAACATTTAAAAGTTAAATATTTGCACTATACTAATATAACAAATATTTCTATTAACTCTTCTCTGCTACACTTTAGCATTTACATAAACCGCAGCATAAACATAGTGCTGGCATACCATAAGTGACAAAAGATATGCATTAAAAAAGTAATGGCCATTTCTGGTACATTATTATAATGTTACATATCAATAATATATTTAGTGATAACAGTCCTAAAGAATACATCTATAATCTAATACGATTTTCACAGGGTCTATTCACCACTAGACACCACTAGTGTCCTGATTAATTATTTATGCAGAAATCTAGAAACTTCATAAGGCTTCACAAACATTTTCTAACGAGTGCATGTATTATAATGGTAGTACAATTATTCACTGCTATATACTATATTATGTGATTTACATATTCCCAACAACACTTTTTTTTTGCTAACATCAAGCACAACATTTTGGGCCTATTCAGATATATCCACTATGTTGTAGTGCCGTAACAAATGCACATTATGTCAAGGCTGCTCACTTATTTGGGTGGGCTGCCGATGCACCATAATGCAGTTAAAACCGAACCTGCTCTCATTTTGCCTATGCGGCATAACATGCATGGTAAGTGTGTTACCATGTGCTGTAGTGCACTGCACTCATGAACTAGGAGGTGCATTAGTTTAGTGTTTTGGGGTGCCATTCAAAATTATTGTTATCATAACACACAGTTACATTCATTGAGCAAAACCTGCAGTAACCTGCATTTAAAATGCACATTTTTCCACACAGCATTGCAGCACAAGAATGTGACTGGCCACTAAAAGAAAGTAAACTGACCAAAGAAAGGAAAGTGCCTCCTTAGCAGTATGCATTGCATGTCTGGATGCTGACTTGCTGAAACTTCAGAAGTGAGACCCCACAGATTTATTGGCTTATGTTTTTAATCTTAAAAAAAAGAAAACTTATAAAAAAATGTAAACAAAAGATCAAAGGATAAAACCCACAAAGTGATGGGTAAACACAATAGGTCGTCAAGTGGGTCAGGAGAGTCAATCAGGAGACTAAATTGCAGAGCAAATTTTGAAAGATTTGCTTAGGTCGATTTAAAAAGAACATTTCTGCATAGCTATTGAAAAAATTTAACCATGGATAACTGTACTTTTTACTGCTAGTAGCTACATTGGTGCAACTATAGACAAAATCTTGTATTTTAAGAAGTTTGTTTATTAACTATCATACTTTTCTGCTGTTATATGAATGTTTACCGTATATATATACAGTGGGGGGAATTTATCATAGCAATTGTGAGTGCTTGAACTTGCACGGAATATATTTGCACCAGATTTATGAAGCTAGTGTAATGTTGTTGATAAATGAGGTTTAATAGACTGCAGGAAATAAGACTTGTGACTTCAGGCAAAAAGCTTAACTGTCGCATCTTGAAGAAGTGGTCATGGGGACTTCTTAAGTTGTGATTGTTATCTTAGGTGATGCTCCAGTTTCAGACAGCCCAGAACAAGTGCAGATGAAAACACGTGCAAAAAAAGGTGCAAAAACCATGCAACTGAAATAGTATTGAAAGCTCTGAAGAAAACAGGTGCAAAAAACATGCAGTTGGAAAAGTAGTGTAAGCTCTGAAGAAAACAGAGGCACATGTTGAAAGACAGATTTGCACATAAAAAAAAATTATCTAAGAGGCTAAAACTGTCGCAAGTGCTTTGATAAATTCCCCCCAGTATATATTAGGGATGCACAGATACCGCTATTTTGGTTACGAGTACCGATTTTTTCCCCCGGTATTCGCCGATACCAAATACCGAGTACCGGAAGTCCCATTCAGGAAGCCAGGTGGCGTGTAATGACTTGCCACCTGGCTTCCTGATTAGCCGGGAAGCCGGGCAGCTTTTAAAGACCCGCCACCCGGGTTCCCGATTAGCAGGGAAGCCGTCCCCATGCTTCTCGTCACTAGGTGACGAGAAAGCATAGAGCCGACTTTCTGGCCAATCAGAAAGCCGGTGTCGTGTCATCACATGGCTCCTGGCTTTCTGATTGGCCAGCTTCCGACCAATCAGGAAGCCGGGCAGCATGTCATTACACGCTGCCCGGCTTCCTGATTGAGGGTCTGTGGGTGGCTGTGCAGGGTCTATCGTAGTCTGTGCAGGGTCTCAGGTTGTGGGCTGTGTGGGGTCTATGGTGGGCTGTGCATGGTCTATTGTGGGCTGTGCAGGGTCTCAGGTTGTGGGCTGTGTGGAGGTCTGTGGTTGGCTATGCGTGGTCTATGATGGGCTGTGCGCAGTCTATGATGGGCTGTGCGGGATGTCAGGTGGTGGCCTGTGCAGGGTCTATGGTGGGCTTTGCAGGGTCTCAGGTGGAGGGCTGTGCAGGGTCTCCTTCCCTGGACACATGTGCAGCTCCTCTTACCTGCAGCCTGAAGTGCCCAGCCTGTCTCTGGGACATCAGATCGTACAGCTGTACAGCATCTCATTGCCAACCCCGCCTACTGTCTGCAGATTCAATAGCTACAGACCTCCAAACTTCGTGTGGCCTTCAGTGCGTAGAGAGCTTCATGGGATGGGTTTCGATTGCCGAGCAGCTGCATTCAAGCATTACATCACCAAGTGCAATGCAAAGTGTCAGATGCAGTGGTGTAAAGCACGCCGCCACTGGACTCTAGAGAAGTGGAGACGTGTTCCCTGGAGTGTCGAATCACACTTCTCTGTCTGGCAATGTGATGGACAAGTCTGGGTTTGGCGGTTGCCAGGAGAACAGTACTTGCCAGACTGCATTGTGCCAAGTGCAAAGTTTGGTGAAGGGGATTATGGTGTGGGGTTGTTGTTCAGTTTTTCAGGGGTTGGGCTTGGCCCAGCAAAGGGAACTCTTAAGGTATCAGCATGCCAAGACATTTTTTACAATTTCATGCTCCCAACTTTGTGGGAACAGTTTGGGGATGGCCCCTTCCTGTTTCACCATGACTGAGCACCAGTGCACAAAGCAAGGTCCATAAAGACATGGATGAGCGAGTTTGGGGTGGAGGAACTTGACTGTCCTGAACCCAACACCTTTGGGATGAATTAGAGCGGAGACTGCAAGCCAGGCCTTCTCGTCCAACAGCAGTACTTGACCTCACAAATGCGCTTCTGGAAGAATGGTCAAACATTCCCATAGACACACTCCTTAACATTGTGGACAGCCTTACCAGAAGAGTTGAAGCTGTCATAGCGGCAAAGAGTGTGCCAACTCAATATTGAACCCTACGGACTAAGACTTGGATGCCATTAGAGTTCACAAGTGATTTTTTTCTGAAGATATGAGTAAACAAATGAACGTGGGATGATTGTTGGCGCTCTAAGCCATGGAGCGAGTATCAGCAAAACAGCAGAATTCATTAAATGTTCAAGAGCAGCTGTTGTTAAAGTGTTTAAAGACTGGACTGTCAGATGAAAATCAGGGTCTGAACGTGCGAATTGTGGCCGTCAGCGACTAGTCAATGTTAGGGCAGAACGGAGAGTGGCAAGGCTGGTACAAGACAACAGAAGGGCAACAGTGCAGTGTCAGATTCCTCACATCACCTTTCAACATCTCGTGGAGTCACAAGGCGGCCCAACGAAGTCATCTCGTGGAGTCATCTCGTGGCCCAACGAAGTACTGATGGGGTGGTCATAATAATCTGGCCACTCAGTGTGTATATTACGGAAAATTGTATACTTACCTTTCGGTAATTTTCCTTTCCTGGCTCCTCCTCATGTCAGCCTACGATGGGTCAGCTCCGCCCTCTTGACCCCCCACAGGACCATCCCCATATCATTTAAAAGGGGTCCTTACCCAGTGATATTTAACTCACTCGCTCCGGCCAA